ATCTGTTGTGTTACAATCAACGCTCATAGATCATTTTGTATTATTGCGAAAAAATATTCATTATTAAAATACTTACGTAATATTATGAAAAGAAAAAGAACATGGTAGATATGTTTATCTTCAATATTTATTTTAATAAAATGGTTTAATTACACATTTAATAAATTATATTATCAACAAATATTAGCTCCAACCACGAAAGCTAGTCATGAATTAATACAAAAAGAAACGAAGCATTTCAAAAAAAAAACGTTATAGAGATATTAAAAATAATTTGAAAAAAGAATACTACGTCATATTGTTTGGTGTGTACGACTCGATTACAGCCAGTGTTAATATTTGAGGCGGTTACGCTCTGGTTGTCAACGTCCCGTGAAACCGGGACAAGGGACGGCCCAATTTTTAGGCCTGTGCTAATAATAGTCCCGACATTTTAATATTTTTACTGTTTTTATACTTGCAACTATGTACAATGTGCCGGGTTACCTGCAAACAGTGCTGTTTGTATGCAGATTTAAATGAGAATTGTAACTTTCTGTGACCTTTTTGCATTGCACTTGTCTCCAAAAAAGTATGTGAAGAGGTTAATTCAAGAAAAGTTTTTGTTATATTTTAAAATATAATTCAAATATGTTGTACCTGTAAAGACAGTAAATAGTTACAGACTTTCTAAGTTCAAACAGTTATACCTCATTTGATCGATGAAACGCTAATTTCGGATTCTGTTTGCTTATAGAACGAAATCATTTCAAAATGTTTGCAATTTGCTCCAAGATCTCTCCCAGCTGGCATATTTTGAAATCAACATAAAATAAAGATAAAACGTCTCAAAATAGAATGTCTCCAGTAAAAATTTATATCCCGCATTTCATCCCGACATATTGTCTTTGTCATTGGCAACACTTGTATGCAAACTCCTTTGACATTCGTTCTTTGTGCAACGACTTTCATATTTATGGCCAGTTTTAATCTTTGGAATTGTTTTTTTTTTTGTTTTTATAAGCTATGGAACAATACATTTCTTTTGTTTGTTATTGTAGTAAATAAGACGTTTACGGCTAGTATAGCTAGATAATTTTGAACGATTTTATTGTGATGTGAAATTATATTTGGGATTTGTTGCATTGTTTTCATTCACAAAATTGTATTATCTCAGTAACATATTTGTTATAACGATTGTGCTATTTAATGTCTAGACATAATTAAGATAAATAAAATCTTAAGCTAGATACAGAAAAAGATATTAAGAATAATTTATCTCACTGAATTGTAAACAGTGTGGACGTCTGGAGTCGATTGTGATTATTAAAACAAATACTTTTTCATTGTAGGTACCTTATCGGCAATACACGCTTCAACTTATCTTGACCAGTTTGTGTTACTTCTATTTCGTCTGTCACAGATATTTCGTTTATTACAGTAGCCATTATACTTGTATTTCATACGACCAAGTTGTGGCTGTCAGTACATTGTCAACAAGACTGTCTTTTATCGCAAAGTTTTCGCGATAAAGTATAACTTTATTACATTTTGTCTTTCGACGAATCTTTGAAAAGTTTTGTTGGTCAGTTTCCTCATTCTGTGGAGTGCTTATTGAGTCTTGAGAGATGAGCGAAGTAAGACAAACTTGTATGGACATACAATGATGTAGGAATTCCTTTGTTAAGCCACCCTTTTATCTTTCATAGATTTTCTGAACATATTTGGTTTGCACTAACAACTGGGTAAATATTTGGTCTTTATTCCGCTGTAGGAACAAATTTGCAGCATCTAGTATGCAGTACCTACCGCCCGGCCCTCCCACCCGCAAATAAACGTTCATGCAGCAGAGATACGAAGACTTTCTTTTATATGTAGATAGATATATCATAATGAAATCTAAAATTGAATCACCAGTACCCTAGAACAAAACAATTTCTAAATAATTTGTTGACCCATCTCACAATAGGTAACGTTGATAATAAATCACAATTTAATAAAAAGTTTCATTGAAGTAGACATTGAAATAAACAGATGAAGCAATTATTGCATATCAACAGTTTTTATTTGAAATAATAATCATTCAGACGAGTACTCTTAGTTTTAACGATATTTCTTTCATTGTGTACCATTGCTTGCAACTTAAGTAAGACTGACAGTTGTAACGAGAATTTTAAGAGATTTATTATTATTTTTTTCTCATATTTTCTTTGAATGCATTTTGTTATGGCATAAGCCGGTAAACGAGCAGACGGATCACCTGATGGTAAGCATCGGTCGGCGTCGCCCATGGACACCTGGAACACCAGATGCGTTACAAGTGCGTTACCGACCTTTTGGGGATTAGGAGTTTGAGGATCGTTGGGGATTTAGGGATTGGGGAGATTGGGGAAGGGGAGGGTAATTGGCTTTCGGCAACCTCACTTACACGACGAAACACATCGCAAGCGTTGCTTCACGTCGGTTTTCTGTGAGGCCGTCGATCCGAAGCATGGCTCTCCCACACTTAAAAAAATTAATAAATAAATAAAGTATTGAAAATGGGAGCGAATATTTCTAAAATATTGAGTACAATTTTAATAGTAACATATACTATGTATGTATAGGGTTGTGTGCCATGTATACCACTTAACAAAGAATCGCCATAACAAATCTTTTTTGCCATTATTGCTTGCTCCTTTGGAGGATGGTTCGTGAAGATATTTGATATAAAACCTTCACAAATACAGATAGCTGTGATTCCGCTGAGAATTTATAAATGTTTATGACGCTCGTAATGCGTGTTATTTCTGCCCTTAAGTAGGGTCACCAGAAATGATGAAGATTGAGAGATATGTCCTCGTAAAATGAGTTTTTTCTCTCACAAAATCAACCGAATGTTAAGTAAAATAGACATGGCTGCATGATTGCACGGTCTAGACTTTTCATTTAACTTGTCGTTTGTCGGAATGAAAATCTAGCAAGAAAAAAGGTTTTTGCTATTGTGCCATTCATATATGAGCAGTCAAGATGTTAAAACCTAATGTAACGAAACTAAATCGAAGATTTTAATGTCAAAAAGTAATTATAACGCTATATATGATAACCTACAATCACGCCAACAGATAAAAACCATTTATAATAATATACGAAAATAATGATCGAACAAATTATTGTTTATTTTCCTTGAACCAACACAAAATAAGATAAATTAAAGGAAAGGTAACAGCTACCTACCTCCATTCATCGTTATTTACACAAATTGCATTTGTATTTTATTAAATATCGCATCCTACCCTTAAACAAAAAAGGTTTAACGTGATAAATAATACTTTTCCTTCCAAACATAATAATCTATTCCATAAATCCGAAACTCTATCTTAAAACATGGCTGCCCTAGCGAATGGCGAAAGACCTTTAAGGGCTAAACTGTATAAAATAAAATGCATTTTATTTGTGCAAGTTAGGGTCTATTTTGCTTTGCTTCTTGAGTTTATTTGGGTGAAAAATGGGTGAGGTTTTGCGGCAGACTATAGATCCGTCGGTTTGTAAAGGATATCAGTGATGTGTATAAGTTTATCTTTATGGGACGGTTTGATCGCAAAAGATCTACACGCTGACCCAGTTACCGAGGGTACCAAAATAATATAGTGGATTTGTAAGAAGAAAGTATCATATTTAAGAAGGGTTCCTTCATAATTTGGAGGTCAAACTACAAATGGGTACCCGCATTTAGCTTACCTTAAGGGACATAAGATCACGTATATTTTACTCTTTTGCTCTGAATGGATTTCCCTTTACCCTTGTTTGTGTTTTAGTCCTATTTATTCTGATAAGGTTCGAGATTTTTAACCGACTTCAAAAAAAGAAATAGGTTCTCTGTATGTATGTATGTCGTGGAGAACTTAACGGGTTGCCGAGGCTCCGGCTCGACGTGCAGGAGTTGGAACGGGGTGGTTTTTAGTTAGCAAGAGTCTGACACTACCTCTCGCCTCACCCAGGCGGGAGAAACCATTCGATGATTTTCCCCTCTTAAAAAAAAAGTATGTTTGTATGTTTATGCGCGATCATCTCGCGATTAGCAATACCGATTCCGATGCGGTTTTTAGAACAGTGTTTGTTACACTTAGGAGAAGATTTAGTCGGCGGTATATTAATTAACTGATTCCAAAAAAGTGTTGAAGGCGATTTTTTAAACGTAGTTTATAATTCTTATTGCCTACGTAGATTTACTGGCACATTTTTATAACATGATCTGAAATTAAAACTGCAATTTATTCTTTGATTGAATCGACATTTGAACTGAAATATTGTATAACATCTTGTACGATCAGTAGACGATCCAGATGAAAGAAGTGAAAATGTAAGCTATTGTAAGCTGTATTCAGTTAAACATAGTTAAACGATTCAGGAGTTGAAACTGGATGATTTTTAGTTAGCAAGAGCCGACACTGCCTCTCATTTGACTCAGAGCAAGGAGTCACTCGATGGTTTTCCACCCTCAAAAAATAAAAGGTCTGACAGTAAACTCTCATGGATCGTTGACGATATTAACAGAATAGTATACAGTGGGTCAATTTGTTGGTGGATCCTTTTCACAATCGAAATTATTTTTATCCTCAACGGACCAAAGTTGCTCGTTGGCGCCAGCCTTTACTAAGTAGATTAAACGTTTGTAAGTTATCATAATAACTTTTTTACATTACAAGTATTAAGTAAAACCTTTTAAAAGATTTTTCGTGAGCTGTTTAACTGATTCGAGTAAACCATTAGCTTCGCTTACTGATTTCATTTTTAAAGAGTTGTTTTTTGTTAACACAGTGCTTTAAGAATCGTGATAAATTACTAGGTTAGCTTGCTATGTTCCTTTTTTAAATGTTTTTTTTTTCATATACCTAATTCGTAAGTTACGGGTGAAAGATTTATCTTTTTTTAAGGTTGAAGCAATGGTGCCATTATTTGTATTAATTGATGTTGCATTATCTTTGTCCGCTTTTTGAAGTATGTAAACAAATAAAAAAACACATTTATGTGGTACTTACCTAATCTTAATTTTTTTGTAAAGAACACTTGGTAAATGGTGGCACTCGTCGTCTTCCTATATCGTAACCTGAAACAAAAAATAATGCTTTAATTATATTGTTACTTTACATCAGTAGCTTAAGGTGCAACCTACGCTAGCGCAGCGCGTCATGCGTCTGCGATGAGCGCGAAATCAATTGAGCGTTTTGTACGACACGGCTGCTAGTCGCGCCGGCGTCGCCGCCCCCCGTTCAACCGGTACAATAGTTTCTCATCGCCGACGCAAGATGCGCCGCGCTTACGCAGGTTGCGTCTAAAAGGAGTTACCTATAGGGGAGAGGGGAGGGGGTGCGAAGTAGTAAGTTATGCTTTTTAATTTTTTTTCGGATCATATTTTGCTTTGGTTTTAAATTATTTTTGTACTCTTTTATAATTAATTTTAGAGTTTTAATTCTTTTTTAACTTAATTAAACGTTTTTAATTTTATTTTACTAGTATAGTATAATTCTTTTGTTTTGAGTACCAAGTTTTAATTTGTTAGTACTTTAAATATACACTTAAAATTTAGCAAATAAAAGTACTTGTAATATGCTAACTAAAAAAATCTAATAGTAGATAGGTACAACCATAGATATAATAAAGAACTCATATATCCCCAAGCGGTCACCGGTGACCGCTCTCCCCTAACTACATTATAGACCTTATTTCCAATGTATAGAGACTACTTTTGTATGAACAAATTTAGGGGATGATTTTAATATTTCTGTGGGTACAACTTTTATTTATTTAATGGGTTCATGTTTTATTTATTGGCATTACTGCACCGTGCCACTTGTTACAGAATGTAGACAGTACGACATGTAATGCAAGAGGTCCTGGGCATGTGTACTGGAGTTTCTTGACACGGCCATAAGAGTGCTACCTCTAAACTTTTTACGGCCGGCTCAAAAAATAAGGCGGTATTTTCCCTTCTAACACTAAAACACAATTTTTGTAAGACACCACTACATCATTTGGGAAGAGTGGTTAAGTACGATGATTATGAAATAATCTAGTACTACCTGGAATTTGAGACTTTGACACATTTAAATAACAGAATTAGCTAATTGATTGCACGATTGGTGCGGTTGCTGGACAACCGGCTGCCGCGCAACGTGTAGCGGGTTTAGGTCCCGCACGGAGCAAGTCTGTGTGTAATCCACAAATTGTTGTTTGGAGTCTGGGATCACAGTGGTCACGTGCCGCCGTTCATCATATTTTATCATTAATTTTGTAATATGCTTGTTTACACAATTTTTTTTTATATGTAATTAATTTTTTTTCATTTAGGTGGTGTATGGTCTCCTGGTATCTTGTTATTTTTTTATCTTATATTACTATATATAAAGCGGAAGAGTTTGTTTTTTGTTTGTTTGTTTGAACGCGCTAATCTCCTCCTAACTACAAGTCTGATTTGAATAATTCTTTATGTGTTGGATAGCGCTAGAAATGACGTTTTATCCCCACTCCCAAACTTTGATTCGTTTTATCTAAGTATTGTTTTATTGTATGACAAAATAAAAAAATACGAGTCTAATATTTTTTAATAACCTAACTTACGGACTAATTACATTTTTAATTTTCATACTCCGTCATCATCCCAATTGGTACAGAAATAGGTTATAGTCTGGAATTATGCATAAGGTAATTTTAATCCCGACAACGCGGGTCAAGTCGCTGGTTGTACTTAATACTGCATATACCTACATGTAGTTTTACATTAGAAGCGGCCACTTTCCCTTCAAGTGACGTCACTGAAGGTCACTACCATCCATCAGCTCCTTCATTAGCCATCAGAGGTCCGCACCGCCCCGCTAGTGAATTACAACAATGATAGATGAACGTACAGACTTATGTGCGTGCTTATATGTGTAATTGTATATAGGTATACATAATATAATATATAAATGTCGTGGTGGCCCGGAGGTTTAAAACACCCACTTTTCATGCATGAAACCTGGCAACCGGCAAACCGGCAAGTACGAATGTGATTTTTTTCTGAGTTATATGTACTTAACTAAGATATCTAGACACCACTGACAAACGGTGAAGGAAAACATTGTGAGGAAACCTGGGCTTATAATTTTTAATTATAAGTTTGTAATCGTCAACCCGCATTGTGCAAGCGTGGTGATTAACACTCAAACGTTATCTATATATATATAAAAGAAAGTCGTGTTAGTTACACCACTTATAACTCAAGAACGGCAGAATAGATTTGGCTGAAAATTGGTAGGGAGGTAGCTTAGAGCCAGGAGACTGACATAGGATACCTTTTGACCAATTTTTTTTTTACTTTTTACCGAAAATCACGAACGGGGACGGGAAAAAATGGGATTACGCGTACAAAGTCGCGGGCAGAAGCTAGTTATCCATATGAGTAGAGGCTACTAAGCAGTGAGTATTTATAGGCTGTTGATGAATATAAATATACGTGTCGTTATGATTTCTTCACGTGACGTGCAAACGAGCAGGCGAAACACATGATGGTAAGCAATCGACGGCGCTTATTGACAGAGGATCGACCTATTGTAATAATATTGTAAAATATTGTAAAAATGTATTGCTGGCCTTCTGATGGTTACGGAGTCAAGTATTTAATACAGGTAAATCCGACAAAAACCCCGCTTTGACATCAAATGCAAATAATAAAGCGAATCTGTACCGATAAATAAAATTGAAAATAACACTTTTACAATTTTATCTATCTCTGAAATGGCTGGACCGATTTTGACGAAACTTTTAATGGCGAGTAGCCCAATGTACTAAAGAGTAACAAAGGTGCTTTTATTTTAGAAAAATGCAGACGAAGTTGCGAGGTCAGCTAGAATAAAATAATCAATCAAACACAATTCAAGTACCAACATATTAACATGTATAATATTTTGTAGCGACGTGTCTTCAGCAGCAAAACTTTTCTAAATTACGCATTCGAATATTAATTTGTAAATAAATCTGTCAAAGCAACGAAGACGAAATAAATGGCCCAATGAAATCCATTTCGCGTGATACATTACTACCCAACAGGTACAAGAACTGGCGACTGGCACTGCCTGTAAATTACGCACCGATACACAGTCAACCACAGACCTTGACCATCGAGCCTCGTTTACGAAGAGCGAGTTACTTGCCACAACCATTAGAATAAGTATTTAGTGTTTTCCTATAAAAAACGCCTTATAAATTGAAACAAATGCTTTGACTTTGACAGCTCCACAGATGAAATGACGCATGGAAAAATATAACTCGACTTTAAGTACTTTAAAACTTCACTGTTGTACTTTTTTTGATTTTAACATACAAGTTCACATACACATAATACTCAGACCCGGGACAATAATCTCTGGATCACACAAAGAGTTGTTCCATGAGAGAATCGAACCCACGACACGTTCTACGGCAGCCATTTGCCCGGTCTTCGCACCAACCAGTCATGTGTGATATTTGTTTTCAGACATAAAATGAAACGAAGTAAACATATTTAAACTAAGTATTTAATTCAGAATTAATTTAATATTAATCCTAAGATTAAAGCTACAGAAAAATATTCTATTATACGTTCAAATAAATCTAGTTAACGAGAGAGCAAAATTAATTACGGTCAGACATGTTTCATGAAATGTAATTAAATTGTAACCAAATTAAATAGGGCGAGGTATTGAAACGAAAGACATCTTCAATTTTCTTTGCAAATCTTTCATAATGACGAGAAAATGTATGAATGAGTCTAATTTCTGTTCAGAATTGTGATGTGTAATGGAGTATTTGTATTTACATATTTAGAGGAGGGATGAGCTGGCAAGTACACAGCAATTAAATACGTATAAGTAGGTATACTCGGCAATTCTGCGATACAGTAAAATGTATACGTGTTTGATTTATTAATATAATATATAATTCTTAGTAAACTAAAATTTAAAAGCGTTTATTTCTATTAAACCATAATTTCTATTAAACATAACTTTTTAAACGTCAACAAATATAAAATAAATAACCGTCTGTCAGTCTGTCCGTCAGTGAAGCTAAGTGCTAGTATTTGCTGCATTACTGAATTTTTTTTATTTGTTATTTTAATGTGGATAGCACTGTAAATATTATAGCTACAGTTATTGATTTATGAACCGTTGTAATATATAAATTAAAGTATGTTTTTTAGTTACATAATATGTTTAACAATACTAGAACTATGATGTAAAACAATAATAATACTTTATCACTAACAAAATCAATAAGCTAATCGAACCTGGAATGCTGATACAAATACATTTTACGTACATAACTGCCATACCAGAAGTATTTCATAAGCCAGTGAATTATTAAAATTTTGTTTGATCTCGAAACATCGTTCAACCGAAAGATAAATATTTAAACAAGAAAAAGGAAAAGTATGTTTGAGAGGGAGATAGAAGAAAAATATTTTTCTTAATTCTTTGATGTTGACAGGTGAGCGATGTTTATTTATGTTCTTAAATTGTCTATGAAAGAGATTTCTCAGTTCATTTCTGCGAAGAATATTTCGTTGACTTAATCATGTTTGAGTAGCATTGAGATTTGCTTCAGAATTTATTAAATTGTTAAGAATGATGTTGTGTATTATGGAACGAATAATTAGACGGCACGTTTGTTTTGCCTGTAAGCGCGTAACGAGGTATTGTTAGTCTTTTCACATGTGACGATTTTAATTAAAATTACGCACGTTGGAGGATTAACTCTGTGATGTTTTGACACATACCCGACTTATATTGTACACAAAATTGAAGGCAAGTAGTGGAAGTAGGTCTCTGGGTCTGACTCAACAAAGCTTCTTCTTACTTGATCGTTTATGATAACAAAAATCTTTACACTAGAACCACTTGTATTTAACTAACTTCCAATGGACGCTTTCATTGTAAATATGCGTAGTTTTATTCTTCTATGTACGTAGGTGTTCAGGTGACCAGTATAGTAGCAAGTTCAGACTAAACGAAGCACAAATAGCCTAGTAGCTTCCATTGCATATTGATTTCTGTGGTAAAGATTGCGTGGTCATCGCAACTGTTAACACCAAGC